CCTAAAGGGAAACAATTCATGGTTGTTCATCTTTTGTTCTTACAAATCAGCACTTTAACTATATTTTGCTGCAAATAAATGTGCAGCTTTTCAGGTTAAGTGCATCTGCTTTCTGATCACTAGTTCATAGCTGCTTTTATCATTTAAGGAACATTTCAAACGTGAGAGCATTTGTGTCAGATACCCAGAGACGATAGTTTATGCTTTTATTTCACCCCCTTTAGACTACTGCATCAGTCTTCTTAACCTTTTTTATGTCTCCTTTTTCGGCAATATAGATCTGGCTACTGACTACCCGGGTCAAACGACTTGACAAGCGACCCGCATTAAAAATCATCTGTGCTCTGATCAGCTATGGGAACACCAGAGCCAGCTTGACCAGTTAAATTACATGACACCATTGAACACAACATAAGGACGTCAACACACCGCACCAGGCGCTTCTGATCTAACAAGCCGAAAACGACTCTGTTTACATTCGATAAACATAAAGCAGCTCTGGTGAGAGGGATTCAGACAGATAATAGAGTGAAAAAATAAAGTACACCGACTACGCCCTGGCTCCCTTCCATTTTGCTCTTCATTGTTTGTTTTCCTGATTTTTATCGCACTGGTGACATCATCATTGCTAACCCAGCATGATGGTGCTGTCACACGCAGCGGCAGATGACACTGAAAGCCAGGGCTGGCTTTCAGTGTCATTGTGTTCTTGGGTAAGATACTTCACCTGCATTGCCTACCGATGTTGGACCAAGGGCCCGGTGGCGCCAGTGTACGGCAGCCTCGCTTCTGTCAGTGAGCCCCAGGGCAGCTGTGGCTGACATCAGTGTGTGAATGGGTGAATGACTGAATGTAGTGTAAAGCGTTTTGTTCAAGTCTCCTGACTTGAAAAAGTGCATTATAAGTACAGGCTACTTATTTATCAAATACAGTGAACCCTCGCTATAACGCGGTTCACTTTTCACGGTCTCGCTAAACTTTATTGTCAAACATAATCGATGGTGGCATGTCGGTTTATAAGGATCTTTTGGCCCAGAAGAAAAAAGAGCAACAACAACTACCGATAACTATGTTCTTCTCTCCAAAAAACACAGCTGCACCGCAGGCTTTAGAAGAAAAAAATGCCACAGAGCAGAATCAGGATGCAGCGGCTACGTCAAACAGCAGTGAAATACTGTACTGTAAACGTCAGTCACTATTTGTCCTGCTGTGCTTTGTATTTTTTTTTCATTATCATTTTTCATTTTCTTCCGTTCCAATCCGTCACGGTGGGGTGGTGCTGATCCCCGCAATATTAACCCTTCAGTTCGTATTGATGATTAATTAAAAATTGTTACTTATTTATTTATAACTATATTATTTTACAGTACAGTAGTTATTTGTAAAAAAAAAAACAAAAAAAACAAACGTTTAAACAGTACTTTTATTTGTTAAACAAATGCTTGGCCTGTAAAAAGTTATTGTTCCTTGATTTCAATGTTTTATGGAGTATTTCATTGTATAATAATTGTAAAAAAAATAAAGGTTTCTATTTCACGGATTTCGCCTATTGCAGGTTCTTTTTGGGACGTAACCCCCGCGATAAACAAGGGTTTACTGTACCTGAAACTACACAGAGGCATCGGGGTTGGGTTGAGGTTTTGAGGATCGAAATGCAGAAGTGAGGAGGCAGAGGTGACTTCTTTAGGATTTAATGAAATAGCTGAGGCAAAAACCAAAAAACCAAAGTACAAAATATAAGCAACCAAAAACCAGACTATTTCAGGGGAAAACTCATGTGGTGAGTAAGGAAAAGACGAGGAATCAGCACTGAGGAACTGCAAAAGGAAGAATATATATAGGAGACAGAACAAAGACTGGACTAATGAGCTGATTGGGAGCAGGTGTGAACAGAGGATACTAGAAGGGAGCTAGAGAAAAGGAGACCAACACCAAAAAGGCAAGAGAGGGCAATCAAGAAATACCTAAGAACTCAAATACATCCAAAAAACACAACAAAATAGGAATAAAAAAAAACATGGATCAAAGCGAAACTGAAAACTCAAAAGAAAACTTAGCTCCAAAACCGAGACGGGTTTGACTGTTAGTTTAACCAAAAATATTCTATGGAATTTAGATATTGACTTCAGAAATAGAAATAGATATGCTCTAATTTTACTCGTTCTATTGTAACTCTGCTGTTTAGAGTTGCTGGGAAATAACCTTTGACTTTGTTGCTTCTGGCATTAATTTCTAAATTAGCTCCCCTCTTCACCCAAATCTGACTAGCTTCTGCATCCTGTTGAAGAAAATCATTCTGACAGCATCAAGCTGCCATGCGGCACCATTTTAGCTTTTTGCATGTCTGTCAAAAAAGTTCTGTTCTAGTCTAATCAAACAGGATCTTCTGTCTGTTTGCTTTTTCTCCCCTATTGCTTGCATGCAAAATCTAAATGCGTTCTTTAACAGCACTTTCCTCTAAGGTCTTACTGCCTTGCCTCTCACTTTAGATGAGCTGTCATGTCCAGGTTTGTAAACAGTAATGCTCTTATGATTAACTGCCTGTTTAAAATCATTTAAAGCTTTGTAACGTTAACTTTTCTGTCATGTTTTTGATCACTGTGATGCTTTCTTAAGCTTTTATTTGAACAGATGGATTTAGAAGTGTCAGGTTGTGTGGAGGTTTCTAGAGGACCAGAATGCACAGACAGAAGCTGAGGTGGTATTTTGTTGATATAATAAGTAAAAGGTGGCAACTGAAACAAAGTGCAACAAACAAAAAAACAGAAAACCAAAATCTAGGAGATGTCAGGGTAAACACACATTAGAAACAAAGTAGAACCAACAAACAGTAACTGAGGAGGAGGAGTATATATGTCAAACAGATCAAAGACTGTGGTAATCAACTGATTGGGAGCAGGTGTGGACAGAAGAATCTAGAAGGGAGCTGGGAGAAGGAGACTGACTCAAGAGGGTAAACCAGAAATACATAAGAATTCAAATACAACCAGAAAACAACACACAATGGAAATAAAACCGATAAACTAGAAACACAGAATACTATGAATCAAAGTGAAACTTTTTGTACCTTTTTTTCCCCAAAAAATGCAGAATCATGACAAGGAGAATAAAACATGACTGTCAGATTCAGCAACCTTCTGAAGGCAACTGAATTTTATATCAGAGTAAAATAAGCCTTTATTTATGCATCCTTAAACTGCATCCACTTCTCAATTATGAATTGTTATGTGTCGGTCATCATTACGTTGTAGGGGAAAGTTTCACTTCCCGATCTGTCCAGATAGAAATAATAAAGTGTACTAAAATATAATGTGTTAAAGGTTAATAATGTATTTCATGAGAAAATAAATGCTTCTATTCTCTCAGTCTGCATAATCTGCCCTGCTCTCTCTGCTTTTTCTCATAGTAGCTTCATCTGGTCTGTTGACTCCATCCTGGAGAGAAATATCAGCTGTGCTGCTGCCATCAACACCTTTGTTTATAGATATTTGAGATCAGCTTGTTTTTCAGTGTAGTCCTGTTTCTCTGACTGTGACTAACTGGATGTGCTCTCTTCATCCTCTGACATGGGAGCTGGCTGGGAGCTCGTCTGCCTGGCTGTGTGTTTCCTGGACGGGGCCGCCTGTGGAGCTGGTTGACAGTTGCCTTTTGTATCTATGCTTCTTTTTCTATGTCTGCTTCTGTCTCCTTGAACCCCAGTGGGCCTCAGCAGATGACCGCTCACACTGAGCCTGGTTCTTCTGGAAGGTTTCTTCCTGTTCAAAGGGAGTTTTTTCTCTCCACTGTCGCTACAAGCATGCTTAGTGTGAGGGATTGCTGAAGAGTCAATGAGTCGATGCAATCAGCTGGTTTTCCTTAGATAGAAAACTTTGAATCAACCTGACTGGATGATCTGGTGAACTGGAAAGTGCCTTGAGATGACATGATGTGAATTGGTGCTATAGAAATAAAGTGAATAGAATAGAATAGAAGTTCAATTATGTAACCTGACATACTTTCACAGCAAACTTTGGAATTGGATCTGAAGGGAAGAAATGGTGATTAAATAGAATCGAACAGAAACTCCCTGTACATGTATTTAAGAATAACACAATAGTAAAGAGTTAAAAGATAAACAATAAAATACTGTAAATTGTTTTAACAATATAAAACTTCACCTGGAGAACAAATAACCAATATCCAGCTATGGGCCTTTTTACAGTAATGAACATAACCTTAGTTGTAACAAGAAAAAATGTGAAAAACATTAACAGATAAGAACGCATTGTCTATTGAAATGTTAAAGAGATCAAAGAAAAGGCAGATTAAAGTTTGAGATCATAAAGAATCAAATAAAAGTGTGGTTTCTTTTTTCTACATCACCTCTGAAATGCTTTAACTAAAATTCATATCCATTGGTGTTACATTTCATACGATGTTATCAGTTTGCATCAACCTAAACGGAAAACATAAAAGGTTCAGTGTTGCATTAAACCTTAAAATTAATTGAAACTTATGACCATTAAAGTATTTCTAATGTGAGTTATCATGTTGAATTTCTACATCTAAATATTTTTAGATGTAGACATGCAAAGCTACAATTAGACAGTTTTTATTGTCCTAATCAAAATAAAACAGGGTCTATATTTGGGCCGTTTAAGGGGACAGGATGCTAGTCATCAACCGGTGTGATGAAAGAAATCGAAACATCCCGCGTTCAGCTTCATATTTGTTGATGTTTGACAGTCACAGATGAGCCAGATGAGTGTTTCAGCGTGTTGAGCGTTCAAAAGGAAATCAGCAGGCTCGGTGTTTTTATGCAGCTCACTTTGCACCTTCTAACTGCTCTATAGATAGGCCTTTATGACAACTGAAACTTTCCTGAAATACATCAGAGCTGACAAGAGGATATGTCTAAAGTCTTCTTGGCTGAGAAGGTGATTCTTTAGAATCGGTCTAATCTGTGGCGGAGACGACTCAGCGAGCTTCATTTGATGTCGATCTGCTTTGTAAAGACAGACATGAGTTTAACTGAAGGTCTTTCCAAAGAAGAGGTGATGACATGGCGCCCGGAGAAGCTAGCAGACTACATGAGGCAGGTGAGAAAAATCACCTTGGTAAATTATTCAAGATCTTTGCTCCAATGGATATAAACATTCTTCACTGTGTATCCTTTGAAAATAATGTAGGATTTCTGAGTTTAGCACATCAGCTTGTGTGTTTGTAGAAAAATGAAAACATATAAAGACAAACTAGGTGAAACTTAAGCTACCAGGAAGGTTGAATAAACTACATATGATTGTTTAAAACTAAGCCAAGATGGGTGTTTATGGAAATGAAACAGGGTTTAAAAGTCGGTCCCAGAGGCGCGCTGTCCTGCAGGTTTTAGAGGTTTCTCTGCTTCAGCACAGCTAATTCTGATGATTGCAGTTCAGCAAAAGCCTGATAATCAACTATCAATGTAAATCAGCTGTGCTGGAGCAGAGGAACCTCTAAAACCTGCAGGACAGCGGCCCTCCAGGATGGGGATGCCTGGCTCACAGTAATAATCTGAAGTGTCCTCTGAAAGCTCTGATCATTCTTTCATATTTCTGTGGATTATTCCCCCCCTTTGTTTACTTCTACATGCTTATCTTTGTCTACAGCTGCTGACCTGAAACCTTCGTGGTTCTTCAGGTTGTTTAAATTTGGCAAGAGGAGGTCAGCGACTATTCAGGCCACTGCATTCGGTACATCCTGCTAGTCCATCTTTGCCATTATAAACTTATCGCTTCAAAAAAAAAAAAAAAGCATTGGTTCTGACTAAAATGATATTAGCATGAAGTTGCAGCAGACAAATTGGCTGCAGATGCTAAAGCTTTTATTTTGGGTTAAGAGTGACTGTGCAGGATATTACTGAACTGAACTTTGAGATGTTCCTTCGCTAAAACGATTTATTTTAACGACTGTTTCCTTTCTCTCATCTGAGTTAAAGGTCACTTGAAGTTTACTTTATACAGCTGATGTGTGATTGGCTGATCCTCTACTGGTTTAAAGGACGGTGCTCTGTAAGACTGGCCCTGGAGATAATATTCATTTTAATCCCATTATAAAAAATACAGAGACATCACCCTGTGAAACAGTAAAAAAAAGTTTAAGCTTGACAGGAAATCTCAAATATAAATGAACAGTATGAAGGATTGACTGATTTTCAGATGTTTGCAAAGGTAGATGAGATCGATTCCACATTTAAGTATCGGCCAATCACTGATTAACAACTTTTTTAAATCTTTTTATCTGGTTAATTTAATTTAATTTATTTCTAAAGCACCAATTCACATCATGTCATCTCAAGGCTCTTTCCAGTTCACCAGATCATCCAGTCAGATTGATTCTATCTAAGGAAAACCAGTTGATTGCATTGATTCATTGACTCGAATGCATTCTCTCACACTAAGCATGCTTGTAGCGACAGTGGTGAGGAAAAACTCCCTTTAAACAGGAGGAAACCTCCAGCAGAACCAGGCTCAGTGTGAGCGGCCATCTGCTGAGGCCCACTGGGGTTCAAGGAGACAGATAAAAGGCGGCCATTGCTATATCCTTCTGGTTCTGGTAGCAGCTTAGAGCAGAGCCGCTTCTCCTCCACATCTGGAAGTTGCAGGTGTTCCAGGTACGTCCCACCAGAGGGAGACCCAGGGGACGACCAGGTCACCTTGTAGGGACCATTTCACTCAGCTGGTCCTGGAGACCTTTGGCTCTGCCCAGCGGAGCTGAAGGAGGTGTGTGGGGAGAGGAAAGTCTTTACTGGGACTGTTTCCCACGGGAACTGATCCCAAATAAGCAGAAGACAAATTTAAATATATTCATACATGTATAAATAAACTACAATCACCTACTCCTCGTACTGCGGAGCCCGTACTGGGTGCCCCTTCATCTCAGGCTAGAAGCTCATTTATCATGACAGTAGCCTGGGTCCTTCACACTTGACCTTGTTTATACACATAGATCTATATTTATATAGATATGTCTGTATGTATATATTCTTAGAGCTGTGTTTTTGGTTTATGAGTCTTTCTTCCGAGATTCTGCTGACATGCCTGAACTCTCCAGATCAACCTGTGCTACATAACCACACGAAGCGTTCATAATTTATCCTTTTTGAAAACAATTATTCCAATTTTCTTGATTCTTTTATAAAGTAAAATGAAACGGCATATTTTTTAAGACCTTAGGTTGAATTAAAATGAACCTTAGGATGCAAAGAGGGCTTCAAGCTTCATATTTGAACCTCCTGGCTCTTTTTGATAGAAATTATCTCCTCTAAAACTCATCTTGTCTGGTAATAAAACTAAATCATAGAATGCAAAAATATAAAGTTTTTCTAAGTTATTGCCTTTAATTTATCATTGTTGCAGCTTATTATAAAAAAGCTTCACTGAAACAAGAAACACTGTTTTAGTTTTTAATCTAGAATCTGTATTAAAACACAGAATACTGTTTGTTTCCTCAGCTCAAGTTATCAAGTTGTGACAAAGTGGTGTTAAATAGGAGAATAACTGGGGCCCAATTTATGGTGAGTAATTTTATCGCTCATGTAATGTTAAACTTTTATAGAAATAAACAGAAACAGATTTCCTTACATCCAAAACATCCTCCTCATCCAGCACATGATCCAACATGAACTTGAAGTGTTCCCAATCCTCTCAATCCCGTAAGTTTAAGAAAACCTGTTACTCATCTTAATCAGAGAGTACTATACTACTCTGATGTGTTTAAAGTGGCTGTTTGACTCATCATTTACAGAATACTCGCAAAAATCCAGAAAGATCTCAACAAACCAGAGAAGAAGAAAACTTTTTATTCAAAGTAAGTGAGCAGAGGCTGATCATGTCCGCTGAAAGTGAAACTAACCCAAAAAAAGAACTCACCTTTATCTTATGTGCAGATTTAGGACGCAGAATCATCCAGCACAAGGTACACGACTCAGTTCAACTTAGTAAATAGAATCAACCCATCGTCTTCTCTTCCATCTGACAGTGATCTGTTTAATGTTTATTCTCACACAGGCCAGGAAGAAAAAGTCCAGGAGACAAATGAGTTTGTGAGTGAAATACTACTTAAAGTCTATAGAATTTTTATTTGGTTTTGCCTCTTAGAGCAAAAATAAAATCACTCATTTGGGCTTTATTACTCTCCAGAAATGAACCATAACTTACCCTCTCCAACTAGGATAGCGACAGCGATGAGTATGAAGAGTTTCAGCAGGAGGCAGCAGATGGAAACTACATCGTTCCTCTTAATGAGCCACACGCAGCAGAGAGTCCACAAAACACCAAAGCAGAAGACCACAGGTTTCCGAGACCGCCTGGACCCCAGAAGGTGTTTAAAGGACCCTGCCATCCCATGGGTAATAAAACAAATCTAGTTTATTTCTATAGCACCAATTCACAACACGTCAACTGGAGGCACTTTACAGAGATAATTTAATCAGATTGGTCGGATTGGTTCAAAGTTGTCTATCTAAAAACCAGCTGATTGCATCGATTCGTTGACGCGAAGGCAATCTTGCACACTGAGCTCTCATGTAGCGACAGTGGAAAGGAAAAACTCCCTTTTAACAGGAAGAAACCTCCATTAGAACCAGGCTCAGTGTGAGCGGCCGTCTGCTGAGGCCGACTGGGGTTCAAGGAGACAGAAGCAGACAGCGGAAATAGAAAACAAACAGATCAATTACTGCTTTCTATGCGAGAAAAGGTAACTCTAAACTAGCTCATTATCTACTCTACTATAACGAGAAAAAGCAAAGAGAGCATAAAGTTAGGGTTGGAACTAACAAATACTACTGAATGAGAAAACAGAGTTAGACTGAAACCTGATGATGAAAAATGGTCCCTATGTCCTCCGGCAGTCTAAGCCTATAGCAGCAGAACTATAGAGATAGCTCAAGATAATCTGAGCCACTCTAACTAGAAGCTTTATCAAAAAGGAAAGTTTTAAGCCTAGCCTTAAAAGTAGACAGGGTGTCTGCCTCACGGACTAAAACTGGTAGTTGGTTCCACAGGAGAGGAGCCTGATAACTAAAAGATCTGCCTCCCATTCTAATTGTATAGATTCTAGGAACCACTAGTTCCTCATGACATCATGGTAGACATCAGGTTGTCTACAATGTACAATGAGAAATGAGTCCAGATGAAAGTAGGAGCAAACATGAATAGCTCTCAGTATCATTCCATTTTGTTTTCATATCATTCATGTATTTTTCTACAAATGAAAAAGTTTGTCTCCTGATTATTATTCAACTAATTATACATAAATTACTGTTATTTTTTTTAACCAGTAAAGCTTGAGTGCTGAATGATTGTTATTCCTCATTCTAGATCATCCTTATAATTCTCAACAAATCAAGAAGCCTCAGAAACCTCCTCTCCCTCCTCACAAAGCCTTTCCACGCCCACAGCCCAGTATGTAAAGCATGTTAGAGGTTTTCATGAAGACAAAACTCATCTCTACATCTCACGTTTTTCATAATCGTCCAGCAGAGGGCAGTGTTGTCATGGCTACAGGTTCACATACCAACAGCCGCCAGGTACCAGCAATCCCTCAGAGGACTGTGTTCACCAGGTGAGAAAGAAAATCCTGCAAGTTTCTGTATTTATTTACTGTAACGCTTTTGCTTCCTTTAACTATTTTTTTTTTTATCATTTTCACTTCTTTTTCTCAGGGAAAATAATCAAACTCCAAACGTTCCTGCACCAGCGCCACGCACTCATTTAAGTGCACCAACAAAATCATCCAGACAGGTGATAAAAATTTGTATTTTTAGTGTCCTAACAGCCAGTGGTGCCACCAGGGGGTGGCCAGGGGTGCCCGCTGGCCAGGGTAAATTATATTACCATCAATTTAGCTTTTCATCCGATTATGCACAGCCAGCTACTTACAGTAACATTAAAAAATCAACCATTAAACCAAGATATGAGCATGGGCGGCTCTAGACGGGGGCCAACGGGGGCCAGGGCCCCTGTAGATCAAGTCCTGGCCCCTGTTATGGCCCCTGTACTAGAGACATAATACTCAAAGAAATTCTAATGATGATATGGTCCTTTGGATCTATTTTATTTTTTTCTTTACAAATTCTGTTTTATTAAGTGTTTAAAAACATAGCATAAGTGGTATTGAGATAGGATCCCAGTGTTCATCTGCTAAATATTTTTTTGCAAAACAAATGTAAAAAAAAGTACTCTACTTTTTACAGCTAATTTTACCCGTTTTTCTTAAATTCTAATTCAGATTTTATAGAAAACTGTAATTTCAACTTAAATTAAGTTAAAAAAAAGTAAAATTCCTAAATTCTGAATGCATATTAAGACATTTAAGACATTTAGAATTTTAATGAAAGCTAATTGAATAGAAATTTCACTTCATGCAGTTATCTTAATTTATTTGAATCCTGTTTTTTTATTTCATGCTTTTGTGTGCAGCATGAAAACCCGCTGGCCCCCTCCTGCCCCCCCTGGTACAATTGGTCTAGAACCGCCACTGAGACATAATACTTAAATAAATTCTTTTGATTACCGGTATATGGGCTGGAACTGACATTGTTACTCATAGGTCCTATGTTTTACTAATTAAAAAAAAAAAAAAAAAAAGGTGATAGCTTCAGTGGTATTAAGATAAGATCCCAACTTTCATCTGCCAAATTTTTTTTTTCAAAATAAATGAAAAAAAAAATAAAATTTTTACAGCTGAATTTATCAGTTTTTCTTGAGTTCTAATTTAGATTTTATAGAAAACAGTAATTTTTAACTCTAAAAATTCTGTTTTACTAATTATTTAAAGACAATAAAAAAGGATCCCAGCTTTCAAAAAACAAATTTAAAAAATACAAGCTGAATTTATCAGTTTTTCTTGAGTTCTAATTCAGATTTTATAGAAAACAGTAATATTACATTAAATTAAGTCAAAATATTTAAAATTCCTAAATTTTGAATGTACATTGACCTAATAAGATATAGAATTTTAATTAAACCTAATTGAATAGAAATTCCAATTCATGCATCTTAATATATTTGAATCCCTTGCCCTGTTTTTTTTTTTTTATTTCATGCTTTTCTGTGCCCCCATGAAAACACGCTGGCCCCCTCCTGGCCCCATGATACATTTGGTCTAGAACCGCCACTGGATATAAGTAGGGTTTTCACTTAAATCTTTATGATTTCTACAGGCTGGTTTACCACAATAGTAGATTCAAACCCTGAAATTATGGCTTTTAGTTTCAGTGGCCTCCCCAAGCTTTTTAGTGGCCCCATCTGGCCCCCCTATGAAGCATTTCTGGGGGCGCCACTGCTAACAGCAGAGGGCGATGTTGTTAAAGAGCCAAAACGCTGAGTCTGATGAACTCAAAAACACATTTTTATTGACAAGTGAGATAGAGTAACTATAATTATCTTAATTTTTTTGTCTAATGTTGCAAAATAACACCAGGAATGCAAAGAGGATTTTCTTTGTCTCTTTTTTTTTGTCACTGTGAGTCCAGGTTTTGGATCCCAGCTGGTACAGGGGAAGAATAACCCGACATCAGGCTGAAGTCTCTCTCAGAGAGGTGAACAAGGTAGATGTTGCATCGTTAATTCTGTCGATTAAATAAAGACACACAGAGATGTTAGAGAGAGAAAACCAGCAGCAGGTTGATGATCTGAGTGGTGTTCTGTCTTAAAGGACGGAGCGTTCTTGGTGAGGGACAGCTCACACAGCTCCTCACAGCATCCCTACACGCTGATGCTGCTTTACCAGGCCAGGATTTTCAACATTAAGATCCAAAAACAGAACGAGTGTTATTATCTGGGAAATGGAACCAAGAACACTAAGGTACGCCAAAATGGAAAACAATAAAATGAACGTTTTGCTCTCTGATTAAACTGAAAAGTTGACACATTGCGGCGAGCCTCAGGGAATGTTTGATGTTGTGGTGCGTGGCGAGGTTCCCCGTCGTTTTCAGTGTGTGCTGTTGTGCTTTAGAGTTTCCTGGGGGTGAGGGAGATGATTATCCATCACATGAACACCCCGCTGCTGCTCATTGATGCCGCAGACCAGGGCTCTGAGGAGCAGCTGCAGTGCTGCCTGCTGCACCCTGCGGGACTCTGACCACACCAACAGGCTTAATGTGAGCGCTCGCATCTGTTCCTGTCTTCTCTGCGTTCTCATTCCCTTGCATGTGTGTTTGCTCTTTGCATGTTCATTTTTAGGAAACCTCTGAAATAAATGTCACAACGTTAAGAACCTCAAAAGGTCATGTTATGTAATCTCTTAATCCTTGTTTTGGAAAACAGAGGGAGACTAAATTAATATCTTTCATGAGGATTATGTTGTTTTTTTTTTACTTTGCTTTTTTTTTCTGCACAGATTACCTCTGATCCTCACGCCTCCGATTCAAGGCTGCTGTTTCTTCACCTCCTCTTGGATTTTTTGGAGGAATGCAGCTTTGTCGGGCTGGTTAACACAAACGATCAGGTCACATTGCATCAGATGGGTTTGCACTGCAGAGAGAAACACAATATCTTTCTGCCACCTGTGCCTCAGGTCAATGTAGCAACTGTTACACCTGAGAAGGGAGAAATTTAGTTGTGTACAGAGTGTCTCCTTCAATTACAAACAGTTTTATAAGTCGACTGGACTCAGATTTACTGGACTTTATTTGCAGGCTGATATTTTATGCAATTATTTCCCACTCACTCATTGGTGTTAGTAGACGGGGGCCGAAAGGGGCCTAATAAATTCTATGATGGCCCCTGTACTGGAAACATGCACCGCAATAATTCCAATCTGTTAAAGATTTCATCATATCCCTAAATGAATTATTTTCTTATGAAAAAAGAATCAAATTCTTCTGTGTAGAAGAACCAAATAAAGAATGGATTATTAAAATGTATTAAAAAATCCTTATTTAATGGTAAAAGTTGCAAAATATTTTCAGAACAGTGGGAACACACACTGTAAAAACCATGGGGGTTCAAAACGGGGGCCAACGGGGGCCAGTGCCCCTGTAGATCATGTCCTGTTATGGCCCCTGTACTGAAGACATAATACTCAAAGAACTTCTAATTATGAAATGTGCTGGAACAGACGTGGTTACTGATAGGTCCTTTGATCTATTACTTTTTTTCCTTTAAAAATTCTGTTTTACTAATTATTTAAAAACAATAAGGTGATCGCTTCAGTGGGATTGAGAAAGGATCCCAGTTTTCAAAAAACAATTTTAAAAATACAAGCTGAATTTATCAGTTTTTCTTGAGTTCTAATTCAGATTTGATATAAAAATAAAAAAACAGTAATTTTAACTTTAATTAAGTCAAAAATATAAAGAAAATCCTAAATTATGAATGTACATTGACGTAATAAGACACAGACTTCTAATTAAACCTAATTAAATAGAAATTTCACTTCATGCAGCTATATTAAAATATTTGAATCCCTTGCTCTGTTTTTTATTTCATTTTTTCTGTGCCCCCATGGAAACACGAACAAATTAGTATTTTTACTTTTAAAATAAGATAATAAGATGATATACACTTGAACTAAGACAATGCAATTGTGTTTTCTTTTTTTAAATGTAAATTGTCTTGTTCCATTGGCAAAATGTCTCTTTTATCTCCTCAATTCAAGAACAAATGCAGTTAATTTAAGAAAAAATGAATTATCTGAATTTCGATTTTTATCCAGTGTACCGTGTTTTGATTTAGTTACACTGTAAAAATGATCTAGAAATAAGTAAACATTTCTCAAATTAAGTGTATTTACTCCTAATTTGAGTGGGTAAATGAAATGCTTTGCCAATGGAATGAGTATTTTTACTCTTAAAAGAAGTTATTTAGATAAAATGCACTTAAAATAAGAGAATGTAATGGTGTTTTCTTTTTTTAAATGTAAATTGTCTTGTTTCATTGGCAAAATGTCTCTTTTACCTCCTCAATCCAAGAACAAATGCGCTTATTTTAGGAAAAAATAACTTATCTAGATTTCAATTTTTTCCAGTGTTGTTATTGTTCTGACACTGCCCCCCACCCTGAACCCCTTGCTGAAATTCATCTAGAACCGCCACTGCACTTACTTTTCACTTTTTATACATTCAAGTGTAATTATATACAAAAAAAAAAAAAAATGATTAGTGAAAACAGTTTGGACAGAAAAAAGGTAGAAAATGCACTTTAAATAATTTTTTCACTCTGCGTATGAAGTCTTGGAAACTGGAAGTTTTGACTCTGCAAATATCCCCCCCCTAACAGGAAGCTACTGAAGCCGGAGAACGAACTACGCTGTCAGACAGAAATTATGAGCCCTCCACTTGCCCTGCAGGTTTTATTTAAATTAAAAGAGTCAAACCCACAAACTGTACAAATGTTGAAGCTGAACAATGTTTATTATTTTAAATATCTGACTGTGTGATGAACTCTGGTAGCCATAATAATCCCATGTAGTAAATCACCATCAATAGTCATGTAATTAATTATGTTATAAATCTGCCTTTTGAAAAAAAACCCAGAGGATTGTTGGGGGAAATGATTTGCATTAAAGTACGAGGGTTCAGTGACTGTAAAGACGCCTAGAGCAGGTTTGGATGCTTCAAATGCTAAGCATTTAAAAATTGGGGAAAGTATTTTAAAGGAAAAGTCCGGTCACATTCAGAAACTTCTTAAAGTACTTTAAATATAAAATGTTCAATAAATGATCAGTGTTTTTAAATAACAGTAATGTTCCTTTGAATGTGTTTTACTGGAGGCATCCATGTTTGTCAAAGAACTCTACTGCCACCTACTGGTTAGTGACGTCACGGTGCGGTATCGGCTGTTGATCAAGTCCCAGTGCTGTATCTGGTGTTTGTCACAACGCGCTATTATCCAAGTCATCTTGAAAACATTCTTCTTCCAAATGTTGGCTACATATTACGGGTTTTTTCTCTGGCCAGAAGTTCGATGGCAAATCCTCCCTCTTCAAGTTGGCGATCCAACGACCAACCCGTCCGTGGAGGATCAGGAATCTGGAATAACTCTTTTTTTTTCACTTTTCCCCGATGTATTCCAGCATCCAGCTGCCATGCACGTGGGCATTGTCAGTTTCACTATAGCTCTGGTGAATTTCAATGGTGAAGTCCTCTGGAAATCTTCAATAATTGTTGTTGATTGCAGATGTTCCCCAGTCGGCCTCAGCAGATGGCCGCTCACACTGAGCCTGGTTCTGCTGGAGGTTTCTTCCTGTTAAAAGGGAGTTTTTCCTCTCCACTGTCGCTACAAGCATGCTTAGTGTGGGGGATTGTATTTGAGTCAATGAGTCAATGCAATCAACTGGTTTTCCTTAGATAGAAAACTTTGTATCAATTTGACTGTATGATCTGGTTGAACTGTAAAGTGCCTTGAGATGACATGTGTTGTGAATTTGGCGCTATATAAATAAACTGAATTGAAATTGAATAGATGTGTCTAGTAGTTCCCATTGATTTAGCTTGGAAAGCGGGGAGAATGGCGCTAGGCTTACCGCACCGTGACGTCCCTGCTGGAAGATGGCAGGAGGGAGGGGCTACTATATTTGGGCAAAGATGGAATATTGTTTTTATTGTCTTATTTCATTCAATCACAGCAAAATTGTTAGTTTTAAGTATAAATAATGATCCATTGATTATTCCTTGCTGACGATTCCTTTAAGCCAGTGGAAGAATACAGCCTAACTGCAAACAGGAGCCCCAAAAAGAGCACTGATCATAGTAGCAGTAAAAGCTGCTGCAGCGATACACGACTGTAGAGCTGAAACCTGCAGACTGGACAATCACTGCTCATGCACAAATCCACCAATTTGAGTTTTATCAAACGAAAGCCAAAAACCGTACACTGTGCATCACTATAAACGCACCACGGTGGCAGCAGCATTGTGGTTTCTTTCAGGAAGGATATGGAAGCTGGGCAGACAGATGGAGCTGAATGTGCTGGTGAAAATTATCAGTCATCCAGGTCATAGTCATTCGAAAAAAGTTTAAAAAAAATCCACTGGACTTTGTTTCCAGGTAGCAGACGTTTCTCTTCCATCCAGGAAGCTTTTTCAATTCAAAATGTCAGAAATAGCGTTGAGTTCCAGGCTCCTATAGGTGCTCTTACATGGAACCAGAAGACTGTGCCTTTTAAGCCAGGCCAACTATTCCCTTGAACGACCTTTCAGAGACATAGACAGGTAAGGGGCATTGCAGGCTAACAAAGAAGCCAAATAACCCACATTCCAAAAGGGTGGACCCGTTCGTCCGTTTCAGTTTGCATGTTTTCTAAAAGCTTTGTTGGGCTGCTGCATAAAACCTAGAACTCAACGCTATTTCTGAAATTTTGAATTGAAAAAGCTTCCTGGATGGAAGGGAAACGTCTTCAACCTGGAAACAAAGTCCAGTGGATTGTTTTTAATTAACAAACGAATCAGAGATACTAAACATTCAGTGCATCTTTCACTCATTTGATGGAAATGAAAAAGATTTATGTTTTAAACTACAAAAAGTTAAAATACAAAGTGTTTTTAATTCTCCATGTGTGAAAAAGGGCTGAGAGAATCTATTTCCATTCATTTTCTATTTTTATAAAGAAGAAATTAAAATACTTTCAAATAGAAACAAGAAAATGACTTTTTGCACTGGGAAAAATCGAAATCTAAATAAGTAATTTTTTTCCTAAAATAAGTGCATTTGTTCTTGGATTAAGGAGGTAAAAGAGACATTTTGCCAATGGAACAAGACAATTTACACTTAAAATAAGAAAACACAATTGCATTGTCTAATTTCAAGTGCATATTATCTAATTATCTTATTTTAAGACTAAAAATACTCATTCCATTGGCAAACTATCTCATTTACCTACTCAAATTAAGGGCAAGTACACCTAATTTAAGAAATTTGTATTCATTTCTAGATCGTTTTTCCAGTGTGGGCTTTTTTTTAGACAGGATGTTCGAACGTATTTCACAACAGCACTAAATTTGAGAGGCTGAAGGTAATTACAATTATTTTTTGAGTCTGGAGATTTGTCCTGCAGACGAGCTGCTGGTTCAATTCCCTGCTGTAACCACCTGAGGTTTACGTCAGCCTCTCTTCTGTCTGCCGGCCCTCAGTTCTGCTTGAATTGTGAAGGACTTTGGGGTCTTGACTATTTAATCAATTTTCACAGGAAAATCTCAGAACATTTCCTGCAAAACATCTTGCTTGTAACGTCTGAGATGACTTTTATGTGGATACAAAAATCAATATAAAAAAAACTGCCCCTTTTTATTTATGTGTTTAATTCAGTTTTTTGTTAATCAAAATAGAAAACAGAGGTTTTTCTCATTAAGCTTTGGAAACAAAGGAAAAGAAAGGCCAGTATTTTAGTTTTTATAAAACAAAAATCAAACAATTGTTTAGTTTTTTTGGTTTGGTTTTTATATCTATTTTCAGTGTATTCTCATTATTAGTTCGTATGAAATCGTACGAAAAGTTATGCACCGTAATTTCGTACGTTTTGGACGTTTTTTTCGTCGCATTTTTACGTCTTGCCTCGAGACAAGATATCCTTGCGCATGCGCATGTTACGCACCATTCAATAACATAGAGTTTAACATACAATTAACCCTAACCCTAAGATACAAAACAGCAAGCAACCTAGTTAGAGACATGAAGAAGTGATTATTGCACGGTTTTTCCCAGTTTTACGTCCGTCAGCGTATCTGCTTTTTTCGTCTGTCTGGCTGCGCACTGATCTGTTTTTTCGAGGAAGGTTGCAACATCAAACCAAACATCAGAGGGGCTGACAGACAACCATCTGCGTGAAAATCCTTCAGTTACCCGTATCTACCAATCAGACATTTCATCACGTCCAAACCAATCTGGTCTGCTGACATCTACAAAAAAAGAAGGAATAAAAAAATAAAAAAACAGTGCAGGTTTTATTTCGTCTTATTCTCAGAGCTGCAGAAGGAGAAGCCTGTAGACAAATGGCTCTGGGTGGGAAACCCGCTTAAACATACGTGCCAGTTGATCCATGCTGTTGGAAAGCGAGTCCAAGTCTTTCAGCAGCTTCTCCATAGCAGCGCTGACAGGCGATGCACACAGACTTTCTCCCTTTTCCATCTAAAAGGAAAAGTTAAAGGTGAACAGAGTTCAAAATACTCAGATGAAGTATTTCATCTCTATAAAAAGTTGCCAACTTATTACGTTACGAACTGTGAATTTAGGAAATGTTAAGTTATTCATTAAGCGTCGCTTTATCCTAACACCTTTTAATGGAGTCGATAAATTATAAAGAAATTAGATTTAATGCTGGTTCTGGTAGGAAGGTGTCAGAACACACATTTCAATACATTATGGGGAAAATAAACAATTAAAAACATCTTGGCTTCTTCTGCAGTGAGATCCAACGATCAGCTGTTGCTCTGTTCCTTTTGCAAAGCTTTAGCCACTTAGCTCCTTCTGCGTGGAATTTCTTACAAAGAAATTGGAAGTTGACTAAGTTTTTAATCTTTAAATGCTTTTAAGATGAAAGTGAAAGAATCTCAAGCAGCCTCAAATATCTGCAATTTACTTATTATGTTTTTTTTTAGGTACTTTTCATTTACCGTAATTTAATATATCTCGGTTTCCTATATAACTTTGCTGCCTCTTGGCCAGGACTCCCTTGAAAAAGAGGTTTTTAATCTCAATGGGATTTTTTTTCCTGGTTAAATAGAAAAATATATTTTAAAAGTAAAAACTGTAAAGGATTCTTTAGGATAAAAATGTTTTAATTAGACTGTATAATAAAAAAGGACACAAGTTTGAACTTACACACAAGCTTCTTTATTTAAATTTACATCTATTATAGTTCAGAACAGCTTAAATAAATAAATAAATAAATAAATAAATAAACATCAGGTCATAACTATCAATTATAATGACTGCGATGCTGCAGCCTGAAGGCAGTGAATCAGAATATTATCTTTTCTAAACTCCATCAGCAGTTGAAGTTTGTGATGAGTCAGCATCCTGAGCTCCATCTTCCCTCTCAGGCTGCGGTCCAGGATCTCCCATCACCGCGTCTCTGCATCTGACCCACGCCTCGGACAGCTCCTGCGCGCTCGACAGCATCTGCGTGCGCAGCTTCACCAGGTCATACGTCATCCAGGTCAGCTGCACTGAGGGAGGGAAGAGGAGCAGGGTGACCAAGTTAGAACATGGAGATATCAGAGGGTGGATCCAGCAATGGCCGCTAACCGCATCTGTCCTCCTCCTCGTCGGTCAGCTTCTCCAGCTCCTTGTCCAGTTCAGACAAACAGCTGCTGATCCCTGGAGGCTCCGCCAGGCGAGGGCTATTCTCCATGTCAATTACTCACTGATTTACACAAATAACGTACGTTATTGCTTTCAAATCAAACCCGCGCCAACGTAAAAAATCACTCTACGCAACGTATTAGATTTTTTTACGTTGGACAAAAAAATAAACGGTTACTCAGACAGATAAGTTAGCGAGTTAAACTTGTTTAAAATTCGGTTAAAACTTTAATTTCATGAACCGACGCAACAATAACGAGCTGAAACTTATCCAAGGGCTTAATTCATCGTTAAAATATAAGTTAGTTTTAAAAGCTTTAGGTTTAGTGGCCTACTCACCGTCAGAAGCTAACTAAGTTCTAACTAATCAACAACGCGCATGCGCACAACTTGATTTTTAATTGGCGCCTGATTTAAAAAAGTAAAGCGATAAAAAGCTACTGAAAAGAGTCCCTTAAAGCTACAGTGTGTAATAATTACAGGGATATACAGTCAGAAATGTAATATATTATATACATAACTATGTTATTTATCATCATCTATGAGCTCAGCCTCTTAACCTTAATATTTGCGTCGCCTTAGAATTCGTTATTTATAATTACATAGGAGCGGGTCTCGCAGCCATGGAGGCAGACATCTTTGCGCTACGGCAGCGCAGAGCCAACAAACTACTGATTGCGAGATTGCCAAAATGTCACAACGATGTAGAAAAAATAACGGGTATATTTATTATCTTAAGTCTACATGAAATCTATACCCTACACAGACTAATGAAATACTATCTGTAAAATTATCTATGTAAACAAACCTCATCACTTGAGAAGGTAGGTGACGCGGACGTCGTGGAAGACATTTTGTCCTGTAACGCTCGCCGTACTGTTGGGGGGGAGAAGCGGTGGGGGGGAGATGTTCATGTTGCTGCGGTCTGCAGTCTGACCGCTAGATGTCGCTGAAAATTACACACTGTAGCTTTAAAGGGATGCATTTAGTACACAGTGAATATTTATTTTAAATATTTATATTTTTTAATAATTTATGTTTTGGTATCCTGTTTTTTTCACATTGACAACTTTGAAGAGGATTAAATAAGATGATAAACATTTAAAAAATTATTATTTTTTGTTAAATTCCACATTTTGATGATAAATGTAAAGGAGTTACATTGGTCTCTAAACAAACTTTTAATATTTCCTATATTCCATATCTGTCATTTTTCATTTTACCACCTGCACCTCTCTTTTATATGACGGAGTATTAGGGCCAGGCTAGACATCCCCCCCCCGCTCTATTTAGAGATGAAAGTCATAAAATTACTAGACTAAAGTCGCAATGAGAATAGTCTTTAAATTAAAAGAATAAAGTCGCAAAGAGAATAGTCATAAAATTACAAGAAGAAAGTCTTGAAGTTACGACAATAAAGTTTGAAAATTATGAGAATGAAGTTTTAAAATTACGAGAATAAAGTTGTAACATTACGAGAATACTCATAAAATTACGAGAATAAAGACACAATGAGAATAGTCATAAAATTACGAGAATAAAGTCGTAACATTACGAGAATACTCATAAAACTACGAGAATAAAGTCACAACAAGAATAGTCATAAAATTATGAGAATAAAGTCGTAACATTACGAGAATAAGATCGGAAAATTACGAGAATAAAGTCGTAACATTACGAGAATAAGACTGTAAAATTACGAGAATAAAGTTACAACAAGAATAGTCATAAAATTACGAGAATAAAGTCGTAAAGTTACAACAATAAAGTCAGAAAATTATGAGAATTAAGTTTTAAAATTACGAGAATAAAGTCGTAACAATACGAGAATAGCCATAAAATTCCAAGAATAAATTTGTGACATTACAAGAATAAAGTAATAAAATTACGAGAATAAAGTCGTAACATTAAGAGAAAAAAGTCAAAACAACAATAGTCATAAAATTACAAGAATAAAGTCAGAAAATTATGAGAATAAAGTCGTAACATTACGAGAAAAAAATCAAAACAACAATAGTCATAAAATTACCAGAATAAAGTCATAAAATTACGAGAATAAAGTCGTAACATTACGAGAAACAAGTTGTATTTTATAACAACTCTTAGAAGAATAACTTTCTTCCCTAAAATGAGGAATGTGGAGCATCATGTGAAGTTATACTTTGGCATCGGTTTGACATCTGTGCTTCATCAGAAACCATTGCTGTAGTGAAATGGTCATGAATAATCAAGTGAGCTTAAATTCATTTCTAAATTTGGAGGAGCATATTGTGTCTAAAAGTAATCTGAATTATTTTGAATACCGGTATCTAGAAAAGTTGAATTTATTTTGATCGGTAGGAAAATACTATGTAGACATAAAAAAGATGAGAAAAAAAGAAAAGAAAATAAATATACAAGTTTTCAACTTGTATATTTCTAACACAAAAAGGAAAACTACACATGATAACCATAATGAGTTGAAGCCAGTCTATTATCTGAGTGGAAAATTATTTAAGTGAGAGGGAACAAAATCCCCTGAGGGGACTGAATTGGCTGACGACAGCAAAAAAGTTGAGAGAAAAACAAAGACCTCTCACCTTAGGAAAGCACCAATGGAGATAGACTGGGGGCGGACCAAGAGAGGAGATATAGTCAGTGTGACAGGTGACACCTTGTCATAGAGCAAGGACAAACAGTCAAGGAAGGATTAGAGAGGTCTGCAACTTTAAAGCTAAAAGATCATTATTTGGATAAGTAGTTAGTATTTTATTTATTTATTTTTGGGGGTTTTTGAGAATTGCAAAGGTGAGACTTTAAGGAACTGATAGGAAATCATTAAGGATTTGACAAAAAAGGACAGTTTAGAAGAGGTTAAGAGGTGGAAAGAAAACGTGACGATGTCTTCGTTTGAGACCCAGAGCCAGTCTCCACCTCGCTGCGGCCCGCAGTTTCCAAGTTTGGGCCAGGAACCTCCGGAGCTCAGCATGTACGGCGAATGCTACTACCCTCCTCCCTCCCTGCCGAGTCCTCAGCGCACCACCCCTTCCTCGTACGAACTGGGCGACTATGCAACCTCATCTCCGAACCCATACCTTTGGTTCAACAGCTCTGGGATCAACTCCTCCTCGTACCTGTCTAGCAGCGGTCCGCCTGGTAATCCAGGCCCACCATTTGTCCCTCAGCACTATGGCATACAGAGACCCTACCTGGGACCAGCTGGACCTGGAGGTCCAGGAGGGGAACTGAGCTGGTTCTCACTTCCCTCACAGGAAGATCTGATGAAGCTGGTCAGACCCCCTTATTCCTACTCTGCTCTAATTGCCATGGCGATACACGGAGCTCCAGACAAGAGACTGACACTGAGCCAGATATACCAGTATGTTGCCGATAACTTTCCTTTCTACAACAAAAGTAAAGCCGGCTGGCAGAACTCCATCAGACACAACCTGTCGCTCAACGATTGCTTCAAGAAAGTACCAAGAGACGAGGATGATCCAGGTAACACAATAAGATCCTATCGAGTCTTTATCGTAGTGCTTGAAAAGTTCCCGCTAACCAGTGAGGGATGAGTGTAACCTCTTATTTCATATTTAAATCTCACCCATTAGGTAAAGGCAACTACTGGACACTTGACCCCAACTGCGAGAAGATGTTCGACAATGGAAACTTCCGCCGCAAGAGGAAGAGAAAGTCTGACTCCCTCGCCAACGGAGACGGCGCCTCAGGGCCTCCGGAGTCAGGAGACAGCGAGCGGGGAAGCCCCAAACACCCTGCGCTTACCATGTCCCCAACGCCGGACAGAATCCCCTCCCCTTCTCTATCGGGTCCCACACCATGCCTAAGTAGCTTCTTGTCTGAAATGTCTACGGTTTCTACTGGAGCGACGAACGAGGTCGGCGGAGACGGGTTGAGCAGGCCGCTGCAGATTAACCTCCCCTTAGACGGAACGCATAGACCCACCCAGCCAGGAAGCTTTAGCAATTACTCCCCCAACTCAGGTGTGTCAGAGTGGCTGCCACAGGTGCCAGCTCCCTCTGTGCTCACTTCCTCACCCTCCCACTCTTCTCTAGGTTACTCTAACCCCATTCTGAGCCAGTATAACGGATCCAGTGGGCACTTCTACCCCTCTCTGAGCTCCACTGGAATCATCTATCATCGTGAGGGCACAGAGGTTTAAGGAGACGTTAATTGGAAGGACGTTTAAAATGCCTGGTGTTAGTTTTGGCTCTGAGAAAAAAACTGAAAAAGATAAAAAAAAGTTTTGCTGACATAGACAAGTGAGGATGCTGTAACACGTGACTGTATCTCAGCATGGCTCGGTTCCCACAGGAAAAGCTGAGTCAGGTGTAGCCGCCTTTCATTGTCTAACCGTAAAAAAAGAAAGAAAAAATGCTTCTTTCCTCACTATCATGTCCCGTCAGCTTTTATTTCAGATATATCTCTGTAAGAGCTGAGTCATTATTAACCGGCCCGGCTCTGATCTGCTGACATGACGCCATTCCTCGCCGTATCGTTGATGGTAATGCACAGACAGCACATTTAGACGGGTAGTTAAGTTACAGTGGTATCAAAATTGTAAACAAGTAATGATCAGACTTACTGACATTCAAGTGCTGCAACAGTTGGATTGATTTACAGTCATGGAGTGTAATATAAAGGTGGCAGTTGTGTTTTTTTTATATATATATTAATATATGTTCACATCTTGTGGTTCGTTACACCTGATTGTTGGTTTGTTGGTAAAAAAACAAAAACATTTTTCAACAAAAATGAGTTTGTAAGGTGTATCTACATGCTGTTTGTTGTGTTTTTACTATGAATAAAAGTTTTTCGATGTAAAGTTTCCTTTCTATATTTTTTTTTAATTATAAATAAACGGATGGGTTTTATAGGGGAATAAATAAACAAATATTTTTTTAATTGGGTGCTGCATCATAACCTATTCAGAGACGTTAAAAAAAGATAATAAAAATAGAGAAAGTGAATCCATATACACTGAAAAAAAGAAAAAACTGTCCTTTCAGTAAAAGCGGTGACCAGTAGTGTGGAACCAGCCTGTCAGTGTAACCTGATCTATGTTGATGGATAGTTAACAGATTCTCCTAAACGGTGAAAAACTACATTCCCATGCTTTCCCTCTTCCTAGCACGACACGCTGAAATCTGTGGGTGCACTTTATCTTTTTACAGAAACTATGCTGACTACACTGAAAAAAATAAAACAACCGTTTTTGTGTTAACAATTACTTAAACAGTTGTCTTAAAGTAACTAAATATGATTTAGTACATTTCAAAAGCACTTCCATTATGTGTGTGAGGTATTAATTTGAATTTATCATTATTTTAAACCCCATAAAATCTTCAGAAAATAACAATAAAACAAGCAAATGTGAAAAGTTGA